GGACCTGCAGGGCTGCCCGCCCACGGAGACGCCGCCAGCCCGCCCGGTGCTATCGCGACACCAGGCCCGTGCCTGCCTCCACCTCTCGGTGCTGCCCTGGACACTGACCAACGCCAAAACCAGTCCTCAGAAACGTCCTCCCCAGCGCCCATCACTTGATCCTGTACCAAAGGCTTGCCCGATTGTGAGCAGGGGGCTCTGTGGTCAGGGCCCTCAGAGGAGGCCCTCTTCCTGGTGGCCAGCACTGACCTTGCAGCCCTGCCTTCCTCTGGAGCCCCTTGAGCCTCCTGCCCCCACCGCCTCCTGCCCCCTCACTGTGAACACCCCCAATTGTCAACCTTTCGGCTTAGGGTCCAGCCTTTGGCATTCTGGGCAGTGGGCACAGCTCTGCGGCAGGCGCGGTTCTGACTGGTGCTCCCGAAGGCTCTGTGCCGGTGTCGTGCCCAGTGCAGTCACTTCCATGTTTGTTTTTCTTTGGTTTGTGGCACCCTGCTTGGTGACATGGGGCAGGCCCGCGGTGGGTCCCCTTGTATTTGTGTATCTGAGAGAGTCACACTGAAGAGTGACAGTATTTTATAGAGATGTGATGAGAATTTATAAATTTCATAGACTTGACTGCATTTATTTTTAGATTGTATAATGCACAGTGAACTTTAACAGAAGAGAAAGCAAGGGGGAAGAAACCTTTATATTTATTCAAATGCACAAAACTGGCATGGGCTCCAGGGCCGGCCCTCACTGCAGACCTCGCAGAGTGCGCCTCGGAGGGGCCTGGCCCACCCCGCCCTCAGGAAGGCGGGCGCCCTGTGCTGTCGGGGTGCTCTGGGCCTGCAGGTCTGGAGGGGATGCCGGCTCCTCTGGCAGCCTCGTTGGTGCTGAGAATGGACGCGTGGTGTAGCCACAGACGGGCCAGGGCTGCTCGGCCTCCAGGGTGTCCTTGCCTCTCTGAAGCCTCAGCAGACCCCTGGCTGCTCTTGAAGCCTGTCCCAGACCTGGTGCCCCTCCCCCTGCAGTGAGTTCTGCAGATGGTGCTGGTGGCCCACCCCTCCTGTTGGTGCTCTCGGCCAGGCCTGCAGGTGCTGTGCCTCATTCCCAGGGGCTCCAGCCCAGCCCTTAGCACGGCAGTGCCCTGCTTGGTGTGGGGGACTGAGGGTCACTTCTCACCACACAGCTTCCCCAGGTGCCACAGGGTGGTAGAAGTGAAGTCCACACACAGCAAGTCCCGGGTCTGATGCAAACCCATTCTTTAAACACTGTATGCTTCCACCCACCTCCCCAGGTAGTGGTGGCTTGTGTGCGGGGCAGGCCATGCCAACGTGGCCTCCTGCCCACACACCTTCCTAGGACTAATCTGCACGTACGCTTGAGTGTCGGGAGATACCACCACGTGTTGGGCATGTGCCTGACACTGAGCCCTACTGGGTCTCAGGTGTCCCAGCAAGTTCCCTCTTGAGCCCACCAGGGGATGGGCATGTAACCCAAGCCCCAGCTGACCATGGGGCCAGCAGCCTCCTGTTCTCAGCACCCCAGGCCCCTGCTACCCTCAGAAACCACCCAGATTGACCCACTGCCCACGTGCTGGCACCCAGGGATGCTGGTGTGGGGCAGTGCTGACAGAGCTGTGCCGGAGTCTGGGGCTGACACCTGTCTCAGTTACCTTGGGGGGGGGGGGGTGCTGCTGGGTGCTGAGGGTGACTGCAGGGAAGCCCTGGAGCGCCAACTGGCTCCCGCTCAGGAATTGTCAGGAAGCCGTAAGGACTGGGCCCTGCAGGCTGCCTGCTGGTCAGCATCTACACTAACCTACGAACCTGGGACTCATCACCCTGTTGGACCACCCTCCTTGTCCTGGTGTAATGTCCATCCACATAGCCTTCCCTTGCCCAGCTTGTTTGTAACGCAGCGCAGCCTTGTTTCAACTCTGTAGTGTACTCTGTACTCGCTGGGCGCATGGCCAGCTCCAACCCTGGCGCCCGCTGCATTGTTCCACCTCTGGGCGCTATAATAAAACAGTTTTCACCTGGACCTGGTCTGAATGCCATCCTTTCTTCCTGGTGACATGACAGTGACGCGTGTCGTCCCCCTAGTGGGGAACCCTCCACCCACGGGTGGGGGTAGCAGCAGCTGTGGGAGCTGACAGTGGCAGAGGGGACCCTGCCTCGGGGAGGCCAAGCCCCACCCTTCAGTACTGGGCCTTGAACCCACACCCTCATGCATGAGCTGACCTGCGACCCAGCCTTGGTGGAAAAATGCTCGTCTTTTCTGGTCACACCCAAGCTGAGGTCTGCCAGCACCCTGGGTGCAGCCATAGGGTCATCCAGGATTGCTGTGACCCCATTCCTCCCTGGGCAGGGGCCTCTGCCACCATTCCCAACTCTCGATCTGAACTTTGAAAGGACCCCTTGTCCCTCACTTTCTCAGGAGGGGGGCTCTGGCTGTCTGAGTCCCCTTCCTCTTTCCATTGACTTCACCACCACCTAGTCTGGAAAAGAGGTACCTTTATTGGACAGGGCAAGCTTGGCGACCTGGAAACCAGCGCCAGGGCCTGCACCATCAGCAGGAATCAAGTTCACAGCTGGTGAGGGAGACCCTCACATTCACAGCTTCACAGAGCCTCGTACATACATTCAGCTGGCATGAGACAGTAGAGTTGTGCCAGTCAGATGCCCCCCTGGCCCTCAATGGATGCACCGGAGAGACCAGGCAGGGGCACGTGGCACTTAGGTGCCAAGTGCTGGACCGATCTGGGGGACCCCCAAGATGGGAGGGAAGGGCAAGCTGAGCAGTTTCTCAAAAGAGGCAGTCCCTGTCCATCCCACCCATCCTTAGGCCAAAGCACCTCCCACTGCAGACGCAGTCATGGCCAGAAACCCAGGGCAGAGGGCCCAGCCCAGGGTCAGTCCAGCTCATCCAGCTGGGAGCTGACACAAGCTGACTGCCCCTCTCTGGGCAAGCTGCTCAGCTGAAACCTGGTCTCCTCGGATATGCCGAACTGCTCCAGGGGGTCCTGTGGGATGGAAGGGTGGCCATGAAGCTGGGCCCTGAGAACTGCCCCTGCCACCTCCAGCCCCACACACACCTTGCCCGTCATCTTCTGTATCTCGTTCCTGTAGAAGATGAGGCTTCTCCGCATGTACTCGTAGCTGGAAGAGGGCAGGACTGGCAAAGTCAGAGCCTCATCCCATCCTCTGTGGCTGCTGAGCGGTGCCTCCCAGTTGTCCCCGAGCTCACCTGGCCCGACGCAGTGCCTCTGTCCACTGTTCACACTGCTCCTGGCTGCAGCACTCAAAGTGGTACTTCCTCTCTGGGTCCTCCACGAAGCCTGTGGGCGGACAGAGAGAGGGGGCCACCTGTCAGTCTCCACACCCTGCCGGCCACAGCACCACCTTCCCCTTGCCAAGGCCTAGACTCCTCGGGCCCCTCCGCCTGCCACGAGCTGAAGAGAACACCGCCCCAGATTCCTTCGTCCTAAGCCCAGAGGTGACCCTGTCTGGAGTGAGCCTTTGCTGATGGAAGTCATCAAAGTGGACCCTACATGCGGCGAGTGCTGCTCTTTAAGAGCAGACGCAACGGGGCGAAGCTCCTCAGAGCCAGGAACCGGGGATGCCTCAACGGGCACACACCGTGTCCGCCCAGCGGCCAGGGGCTGGACGCGCGACGCGGGGCACTCACTGATGGAGAAGCCGCCGGGCTCTTCCTGCGCGACTCTGCAGCGCTCCAGCAGCAGGGCTCCGAGGGGCTGCGCGAGACACGGGCGTGAGCGCCGGCCGCCCGCGCGGGCCCCCCCTCGGCGCCCGCGCCCCTACCTCGGCCTCGTCCGTCCGGAAGTAGAAGAGGAAGTTGACCACCAGCTTCACCAGCCGCCGCTTGGCCACTGCGGGCACAACGCGGGCTCAGCGCGGGCTCAGCGCCGCCGCGAACGCCCCCCCGCCGGCCAGACACCCAGGCCCGGCCCACTCACCGCTGCCTTTCTTGGGCCCCCGCATGCCCAGCTCCGCCGCCAGCTCCGCCGGCTGCTGGGACAGAGCCCGCAGTTCCTTCTCGTTGTAGCGCATGGCAGGCACCGCAGGGATACGGGAGCCAGAGTGCGGAGCGCGCGCCTCTCCTCCCGGCCGCCGTCCCCGGTGGCGCGGCACCGGCGCCACAAAAGTCTCACGGAGCTGTCCCGGAAGTACCGACAGAGGTAGTGCGCCTGCGCGCCCCGAACGGCCTCTCCTTCCCGCAGCCGCTACGTGGCGCTGGCGTGCGGGGCCCGTGGGGGAGATCAGCTGCCTTTATAAAGTCACGAAATACACTGAGCCTGGGTCGGAAACTGGTTCACGGCAACCCCTTTGACAGGCGGTGCCCCTTCCCGAGGTGTACATGCGCAGGTGGAGAGCACGATAGCGTTTCCGGCCGCGTCTCAGTGCGTCCACTCTCGACACCCAGTACCGCGCGAACGAGGACCGAGAGTTCGTTGTACGCACGCGCCCTTCCTCGTCCAGCCTGCATTTAGATCCGCCCTCTTGCCCTCGCGCCTCCCGGTTGTCCATCCGGGCCGCGGGGCGGACCGGGCGTGCGCCAAAGGAAGCTCAGCCCCGTTGGTCCCGGAAGTGGCTCGGTCCTACGCGTTGCGCGTGCGCACGGAGGAGTCTTGGCGGTCGCCGGGAAGGCCTCGGAGCGTGGCCTTGGGCCCCGGTGAGGAGCGGCGCGGGCTGTGGGCGGTGGCCGGCCCGGGAGCTCGCTGGAGCGGGGTGGAGTGGGAGCCCGGCGCGCGGCGCGGCACGCCCTCTCGGGAGGCCCGTTGGGGCGCGGGCGGCCTGGGTGGCGGAGGGCCTCGGGTCCCCGAGCGCCCGCGTTGGTTGCCGGCCCGGGGTCTCGCCGGCCTCGCAGCCCGTGAGCGCGCATTCCTCTGGCGCGGGCGGCCTCGGAGCTTTAGCTGGCCCCGTGCAGGCGCGCCCCGGCGGGACCTGGGCCGAAGGAGGCGGCCACTCTGCGCAGAGCCGGACGCCCGGCCCTGGACCCAGCGGCCACCTCCTCGAGTCTGGCGGCCGCTTCCCCTCGTCTGGTCTCTGGCACGGCACACTTCCCTCCCCCGAGGTGTCCGTTTAAGGCGTCCGGCTTCCTTAGCGGCCTCCCGCCCCGTCGGGTCGTCGGTCTTTGTTCCGGGCTGCGCAGCGAACCCGTGAGCCCTTGCCACTGAGCTACACCCCAGGTTCTTTTGTTTTTTTAATTGTGAGGCAGGGCCTCGCGGAGGCGCCCTGGCTGCCCCTCGGGGACTGCGGGCCTGCACCACCTCCCCTGCACGCTGTTTTCCTGAGGTTGACTCTGCCGTCCGATGCTGAAAGGAGGAACCCGTCTTCTTGCACCACTGGTTTCTCTTTAAACCCCCAAGATCCCATGTGCACGTTGGTTGTATTTTCCATGTGTTTAAACAAATCGACTCCCCGGATTCCTGCTCTGCTTTGGACGACAGCCCTTCAAGCTGCATCCACGTCCAGTCTGCTGTTGTGGAATTTGGTTCCCTGCCCTAGCTATTAGGTTGGCCAACTCTTTGTTCTCTCGGAACCCACAGCCTGTTAGTTTCTAAAAAAAAAAAACCAAATGATTTTTAGTTTTCTTTTGAGTCCTTGATTGTCTGGAAGTGGCTTTGTTTACTGTCCTTGATTGTCTGGAAGTGGCTTTGTTTACTCTCAGTGCCATGCCCAGCAGTTCGGGCGTAAAGTCGGTTTATAGGGCTGGACTCTTCTGAGGCTCCAGGAAGAGTCCACATCCCTCCTCCTCCAGCTCCTAGAGATCCACGGCCACGGGCTCTTGGCCCCTTCCTTCAGCTCCAGAGCCAGCAGCCCGCTGTCTGCCAGCATCTCTGTGACTCAGCCTTCCTGCCTCCTGAGGACTCTGTTGACACTGGGTCCCAGATAGTGTAGGATGAGACCCCATCTCACAGCCCTTCACTTCTACTTGCAGACTCCCTTTTGTCATATGTGATCACAAAGGAATGGTTTCTGGGGATGAGAATGAAGATGTCCTTAAGAGCTGTCATCCACTGGGTCTCTGGGCTCGACCCTAACTGAGGGTTTGTGGCAGTCATTGAACAGTCTAGACAGAATGTTGGGTGACCAGAAAAAACTGCCTGGAGTTTGGGTTTTGAGTGAACATGATAGAATATGGGAACCCGGGGTGGCCTATAGGATTTTGAACAGGGTGTTTAGGATTCAAACAGCTGCAAGTAGCTCTTGAATATTGCAAATTAGGCAGAGGGGATCCAAAGATAGCTGTCTTCCTTGCCTCCAGCAAATCCTAAGTGCTAGAGAAATAGAAATTAGGTTATAAGGAACAAATGTAGCCGGACAGAGCCAAAGCTAGAGGAGGGAGTGAGCCAGGCTTTGGTGAGTCAGGACAGCTTCCTGGAGAGGCTGAGGACTGTACAAGGAGTGACCTTGCCCTCCCTGGCCTTGGCCCTGCACGCCCAGGCTGGGCGCCTCCCCCTGCCCTCCAGAGTCACTGAGAGGCGCCACAATAACCTTCTAGGCCAAGAATAGACCATGTTTCCCTGCAGCCATCTAGTTCCATCACAGTCCAGTGCACTGTCAGACATGCTCCTTAACCAACCCAGATTGCCCTGCCCACCATCTTGTTGTCTAGGGCATCACCCAGGACCCCCACTAGCCAGGCCCCTGAGCTGGAGTCTCTGGAGATGCCTCCAGAGTCCCCCTGTTATCTGCCTGTCCCAGGGTGCCTGGCCACAGCTTTGGCAGGCGGCCTGTCCATCACACACAGTCTCCTCTGTCGCGCAGGTTTCTCCCTGGTTCCTTAAAGCCTCAAGGCCTTCACCATGGATTTCCAGCATCGACCTGGGGGGAAGACAGGGAGTGGGGGTGTGGCCTCCTCCTCTGAGAGCAACCGCGACCGCAGGGAGCGCCTCCGGCAGTTGGCTCTAGAGACCATTGACATTAACAAGGTAGGCCACAGGGAGGTCTTGGCACCCTGTGCACAAGTGAGTTTCTTATTATTTTTTTTTATTTTTGGTACTGGGGATTGAACCCAGGGGCACTGAGGCACACCCCGCCCTTTCTTGTATCGTATTCAGAGACAGGGTCTCCCTGAGTTGCTTAGGCCTTTACTAAGTTGCTGGGCCTGGCTTTGAATTCCCAGCCTCCTGCCCCAGCCTCCTGGGTTGCTGGGGTTACAGGTGTGGCCCCTGATCCCGGCAGAAGTCTGGTTTTGTAGGATAGCTAGAAAGAGCATGTGCTGCAGGGCTCTTTGGTCACGGAGGATGTTCTGTCTGGATGTCCCATGCCCCCAGTCACAAACCCAGGGCTCTGGAGTGTCCCAGCACCATCAGGCAGATGGTGCTTAAGGCTTTTGCTGGCCTGAGAGGAGGACCCAGCAGGTCACAGGCCTTCTGGCCTTAGTTCCCTGACCATAGACAGTGGGCTTCCTCTGCCTGACAGGATCTATTTTCTCCTCAGGATCCATATTTTATGAAAAACCACCTGGGATCGTATGAATGCAAGCTCTGCCTGACTCTGCACAACAATGAGGTATGTTCTCTGTGGGTCTGGCCTGCCACCAGCAGTGGTCCCTAAGCCCTCCCTGGCACTGACTGCCTCCGCTTCTCTTGGCCAGCCTCTGGCATGCTGCAGAGCCCAGCCCGATGCCCACCCCAGCTCCGGGCTTGCTCCGACTCATCTCTCTTTATTGTTAACTCTGAGAGGAGAACGGAGGCATCACCTAGGACCCCACTAGACAGCTGCCAGCCCACTCACTGGACATTTGTTCCAAAGTGTGTCTTTCTGTGAAAGACGCCTATCGCTGAAGATGCAGGTCACATTCCCTCTGTCACCAGCTGTGTCCTGCACACTCGGCCCATGTGTCTGCTGGGAGCCCTCCCAGCCTCCCTTTCTTGCGAGGCCAGGGGGTGCGGGATACTCTGCCTGATGTTTGATGGGCTGGCTCCAGAGAGGAGTCTCTGAGAAGACGGAGAGAGGGGTGGCGTGCTCTGGGGGCTCTCCAGCCTGTGTGGTTTGAGGATGTCCCCACAGTTAAGGCCTTTCTCCCATGGTTCTGGCAGCCAGGAGGTGGCTGTGGTGACTCAGGTGCAGGCTCTGAGCTGGTCTGAGCGTCCTCTGCTCTGCTGTCTTCAGCAGTGACGAGGCTCTCTATCTCTCGCGTGTCTCTGCACTCTGTTGAAATGAACTGTCCTGCACATCAGGGCCTCTTCTCGGTGCTGTGGACACTGGCTGGATCATTCTCTGGGGTGGATGTGAAGTGGTGGGTCAGAGGGTGCCAGGTGTTGCGCTGCTGACCACACTGCAGCCAGGTGCAGATGTGCACATGCCAGCAGGAACCCACAGGCCCCTTGTGGTGCTGGTCTGGGGTGTCCCATGTGTGCACTTCCTGTAGCGTGTCTTCCCTTCCCCGCACCCTGTGTGGACCTGTGGAGGTCATGCCTTCACCGGGTCAGATGGCTGCCTTGCCCCTGGCTCCCTCTGTTCCTTATCTCAATGGCAGACTGGCCTTGTTTATCCCTGTGCCCCACACAGGCCCTGGGGAAGACTGTTGGGTCTTTACTTGGCCTTTGTCATCATCCCTTCTCTCTGCAGGGCAGCTACCTTGCGCATACCCAGGGGAAGAAGCATCAGACCAACTTGTGAGTACCTTTGCCCCTGCAGCTGGTGCTGAGCCTCCGCTCGGGCTCTGAAGTCAGCCAGGCTGCACCTAGGTTGGAGGGGGAGCCCCTCATCCGATGGGTGGGAGACGAGGAGAGGCTGTGTCCTCGGCTGCAGTGCACACTCTGCCTGCCCTTTACCCTGATGGGCTGGGGCTGGGGCTCAGTGGCAGAGCGCTCTCCTGGCACGTGTAAGCCACTGGGCTCCATCCTTAGCTCTGCAAAAACATAAACCAGTAAAATAAAGACATGCTGTCCACGCCCAACTACCACAATAAAGACTGAAGAAAAAGAAAAAAGGGGGATTGGGACCTCTGAGAAGAGCAAGAGGCATGGCATGCCCTGAAGGACTCTAGCAGGCCCAGCTGACCATGACAAGAAGAGGGAGAGGCCTTCTCGGTTGTCCCTGTCCCTACATTCTGACCCCAGGGCCTCTCCCACACCTCCCACTCTTTGTCTCCCTCACCTTGTAGAGGAGCTCCAAGGTCAGGGCAGGGGCTCAAGGCATCTGGGCCAGTGGCCTTGGTGGCCTGTGTTTGCAGGGGCTGCAGCATTTGTTTGTCCTGCCCTCAGGGCCCGGAGAGCAGCCAAGGAGGCCAAGGAGGCCCCTGCCCAGCCAGCGCCAGAGAAGGTCAAGGTGGAGGTGAAGAAGTTTGTGAAGATTGGCCGCCCAGGCTACAAAGGTGTGTCTGTGGGAATGACCAGCAGGCCACAGCTGCTGCCCAGAGTGAACGAGCTCTTTGGCCCCAGAACCCTGGGCCACAGCTGCTATCCCCTGGCCTTTCACAGCAGTCCCCTCGTGGCTTGTGGCCTCGGCCTCTGTTGCCAGGACTTGACCAGCACTGATCCCCATCCTCCCCCCGCTAGCAGCTCCCTTTTCTGTCCCAACTGGGACCACTCCCCAGCTGGCCACACTAGCTTTGTGTGTGCCCCAGACCCTCAGTCCTGACTCTTTTCTGTGTCCCTGGGGCATCATGGGGGCACATGGGAAGGGAAAGTGGCAGGAGGGGCCAGTGAGGCCAGGCGGCCTTTTCGTTTCAACTTGAACTTGAATGTAGGCTCCTCATAACCTCTAAAGGGGAAGGAAGAGAGGAAGCTTTCAGGAGCAACTTGTCGAGGACCAGGGGTTACAAGGGTTGGAAAGCTGGCTGAGTGACCAGTAAGAACACAGAAGCGCGTTCCCGCGAGTTAGGGAGGCGGATCGGCCGTTGAGCAGTTCTTAAGAGGTTCTTAAGAGGTGGGATGTTCTGTGAACTGGTCCACAGAGCAGAGGCCTGAGACGGCCTGCCTGGGGAGCAAGGGCTGGCTGGATAGCAGAACCCAGGCGGCAGGCCACAACCAGGGCTCTGGATGTGTGGTGAGGAAACGGCGATGGGCTGTGGTCAGCTTTGGGATTTAGCTGCCACCTCCAGCAGCCTTTCTTGGGGCACACTGTCCTATCCCAGTATAGGAGCTTCCTCTTGCTTACCCCATGCGCAGGACTGGGACTCAGGTCGGCCCCACTTGGATCCCAGTGAGGTGGCCCAGAGAGCCCTCCTGGCCCCAGAGTCCCTGCTCTACTCCGGGGTCCTGATGTCTGGGGATGTGGCCTGCCGTGAAGGCCCCCAGGAGTTGTGGTGGAGCACTGCACGGCATGGTGTGACGCCACCTTGTGCACCCGAGCCCTCCCTGTGGCAGAGCCTATCCAGCCACCCTGGCCAGCCCAGGCGCCTGCCCAAGACCCCTTCCCCTGGTGGGTGGGCAGTATTAGACCACCCTCGGGGAGGACCAGTACCCTGGACCTAAGAGCCCCATTATTGCAGTGACCAAGCAGAGGGACACAGAGATGGGCCAGCAGAGCCTCCTGTTCCAGGTGAGGTGGGGCCCAGGGCTGGGAGGGAGGGAGGGAGGGGCCCCAGAGGCACTGGCTGAGAAGCAGCGTTGCCACTGGCTGCATTCCGCAGATCGACTACCCGGAGATCGCCGAGGGCATCATGCCTCGCCACCGCTTCATGTCTGCCTACGAGCAGAGGATTGAGCCTCCGGACCGGCGCTGGCAGTACCTGCTGATGGCTGCCGAGCCCTATGAGACCATCGCCTTCAAGGTAGTCGGGCCTCTGGGGTCTCCTCCTTCCCCCACGAGAGTGTGTACAGGGCAGGAGGGTCCCCATTAGCCACTGCACGCTGGAGATGGGCCTCCAGCACGGGCACTGCCCGTTGGGGGTCTCCCTCTTGTGACTACTGCTGTTCCATGAAGAGTTGGGGTCCCCAGGTGGGCCGAGCGCCTCAGCTGTGAGGCCTCCACTTTGTGGCTTTGCTGGGTCTAGGCTGTCCAGGGCTGACGGTAGCTGTGAGTCCGGCGACGCAGGCTGCCGCTCTGGTGCGGGCCGGATGGGGGTGCGCCCAGTCTGCCTCACACCAGGGGCCCTCTGGGGCCTCTCGTCCTCCCTAGGTACCCAGCCGGGAGATCGACAAGGCTGAGGGCAAGTTCTGGACTCACTGGAACAGGGAGACCAAGCAGGTAGTGAATGGGGGCCTGGGTCTGGGTGCTGCGGGGACCCACACCAAGGCCTCCAGCACCAGTGGTCCACCCCCCAGCTCCAAGGCCACGGGGTCTGAGGACCTCCCATGTCTCTCCAGTTCTTCCTTCAGTTCCACTTTAAGATGGAGAAGCCTCCGGCCCCACCCAGCCTCCCTGCAGGGCCTCCAGGGGTGAAGCGGCCTCCACCCCCGTTGATGAATGGTCTGCCTCCTCGGCCACCACTGCCAGAGTCCTTGCCCCCGCCTCCACCAGGAGGCCTGCCCCTGCCACCCATGCCCCCCACTGGGCCTGCACCCTCGGGGCCCCCTGGGCCTCCCCAGCTGCCCCCACCAGCTCCTGGTGTCCATCCTCCAGCACCAGTGGTCCACCCCCCTACATCTGGAGTTCACCCCCCTGCTCCTGGGGTCCACCCTCCAGCTCCCGGGGTCCATCCCCCGGCACCAGTGGTTCACCCACCAACATCTGGGGTCCACCCCCCTGCTCCAGGGGTCCACCCCCCTGCTCCAGGGGTCCACCCCCCAGCCCCTGGGGTCCACCCCCCAGCCCCAGGGGTCCATCCCCCAGCCCCAGGGGTCCACCCTCCCCCAACGGCTGGGGTTCACCCCCAGGCCCCAGGAGTACATCCACCTGCTCCTGCAGTTCATCCTCAGGCACCGGGGGTACACCCACCAGCCCCTGGGATACATCCCCAGGCACCAGGGGTCCACCCCCAGCCTCCTGGGGTTCATCCTGCAGCTCCTGGGGTCCACCCTCAGCCTCCTGGAGTTCACCCGTCAAATCCTGGGGTGCACCCCCCAGCTCCTATGCCTCCGATGTTGAGGCCTCCTCTCCCCTCGGAAGGTCCAGGGAACATCCCTCCCCCTCCCCCAACCAACTGAAAAGCTGCCCCCCTTGTGTATCTGGTGTCCCCTTTCTCCCTGCGTTCCCACAGGAAGGCGTCGTGAGCTTTTGTACTTACTGTTCCCGGAGCCCATTAAACAGCTTCCCCGTGTGTGCAGTGGACTGACTGATGGGGCACTGCTGGGTGGGAGGGCTGTGGGGGGGCCCATGCCTGCCACACATGGGTTCTGGCCTCCACCAGGACATGTGCAGGGTGCTGCTGGACAGAGTATAGCTGGAAGGGCACAGGGAGCCCCAGCTGACTCGGAGACCACCCCACTGCTACAAGGGTGGGGGTGGGGTTCTGCGCCTCTGCACTCCAAGCATGCCCCCCCCCCCCCCCATGGTCCCTCTGCTGTTTGTCTTTAGGAGGGACCCTTCCTCAAGGACAGCTTGGTCCCCAGGGCGGTCACAGGCCTGGCTATCTGGTGAGAGAGATAGGTGGCTGGGCCCAGAACAGATAGCTCTTTGAGAAGGCTGTGTCTCCCATGTGCCCCTGCTCCGTGTGGGGTGCTGGGCACTGTCCCCCAAGGTCACTCTGTGGAGCAGATAGAGGCCTTCCTCTTCCCACACATTCCATGCTCACCCATATAAGCCAGGCCACCCAGCCCCTTCCAGCACTCGATATGCAGGGCCCACCTTTCCTTAGCCAGCTGGCCCTGGTGGTGGCCATGGGGACTGTATTGAGGGTTGAGATCTCCAGAGGAGAGGAGCCAGTGGGGGGCTTCATCTTCCCTGAAGACTGGATGTGGCAGCCTGGTGGCCCACAGGACCCCCTGTGCCTGGTGACACTGAGCAGGACCAACAGTGGGAACAGAGGCCCCTTGCAGGTGGTGGGAACCCTGAGCAGCTACGAACACGCTTTCTTGGAGGCTGTTGGGAGGTCCCGCTGGGAACCTCAAGACCTGGCAACCTTTGGGGTCTGCAACCTCAGCGACGTGCAGACTGCCCTGCCCACTCTGCGGCACCTGGGGTCCTGGCTGGGGGAACGGAGGGGTCTGCTGCTGGTCCTGCACCTGGCGGAAGGTATGTAGAAGCCCTCCCAAGGCCGCGCTTCTCCCTGGGGGGAGGCTGTGGGTCTCTGCTCTAGAGGAACAAGGGATTCCCTGATACCCAGGCTCCCAGATGGCCCCCACAGTGACAGTGAGGGCACCCCTCCTGCCCACAGTAGTGCTGGCAGAGCTCCCAGGTCAGCAGGGAAGGCCCTTCCCCACAGCCAGGGAGCCCAGGAGAGCTAGACCCAGAGAACCCCAAGGTGCATCCTTACCCACAGCCTTCAGCCAGCCCCCAACGTGGTCTCCTTCCCAGACAGCAACAAGAAGGGGACCTCCTGTCCCTTCAGATGAGGTCCCCTGCTCCTGGTGTCCAGGGAGAGCGGACAGTACCCTTAGACCTCCTGGCCTCCAACAGATTGGCAGAGGCTGCAATTGGGGAGGAGGCTCTTGTTGCAGAACAGGCCTGGGGAGCACTTGGGCTCAGTGGCTCAGGTGTCCCTGTTGTCCTGGCTGCAGTGACATGGGAACCAGTGCCCTCGCTGAGGTTCCAGGAGCCCCCCGGAGGAGCCAGCCCCCATGAGCAGGCGCTGCTGGTGCTATACCCTGGGCCTGGCCCCGAGGTGACTGTCACCGGGGCTGGGCTGCCAGGTGCCCAGGTATCTGGGAGTTGCAAAGGGCAGTCCTGGGCCACCAGGAGCCCTGTTTGAGGGGAGGAGGCTGGATTTTTTTTTTTTTTTTTTTTTTTTTTTTGAGGTCTCTGTTTAATGGAAAGGCACAGAGGGTCAGTGAGTGAGAAAAAGGGTGGTCAGGCACCGGGGAGAAGGGATGTGCATAGCCAGGCTGGGGGCGGCAGCGCCCCCCAAAAAACAGGCCGAGCCCCATCTCCACAGGGCCTCTGTCCGACCCACAACACGCGCTATCTGGTGCTGGCCGTGGACCGCCCAGCGGAGGCCTGGAGCAGCTCTGGGCTCACCTTGACCCTGCGGCCCCACGGAGACGGTAGGCAGACTGGGCAGGGGCTGCTGCCCTTGGTGCCAATCTCCGAGCCATAGTAGTGCCCGCCCACCACAGGTGGCCCCATGAGCACCGCCCAGCTGCAGGCGCTGCTGTTTGGTTCCGACCCCCACTGCTTCACGCGGATGACCCCGGCCCTCTTCCTGCTGCCATCTGGGCCTGCGCCGCTGCCTGCCCATGGCCAGTTGGACATAGTGCCCTTCCCGCCGCCCAGGTGCGTGCCGGTCATGGAGCCGGGGGCGTAGGGGGGTGGAGGCGGCACGGCCTCACTCCCTCAAGACTACCTCGCCCCCTACTGCGGGTTCCAGGTCGTCCCCAGAGCCCGAGGAGCTGCCGCCCAGCACAGACCCCTTCCTGGAGACGCTTACGCGCTTGGTGCGCGCGCTGCGAGGGTCCCCCACCCGAGCCTCATCGCCGCGCCTGGCCCTGGACCCAGGCGCTCTTGCCGGTTTCCCGCAGGGCCTCGTCAACCTGTCAGACCCCGCGGCACTGAAACGCCTCCTCGATGGCGAGGAGCCTCTACTGCTGTTGCTGCCGCCCGCTGCGGCCACCTCTGGGGACCCCACGCGACTGCAGGGCCCCGCGTCAGCGCCCTGGGCCGCCGGCCTGGTGCATCGCGTGGCCATCGAGCTTCAGGCTGCGGCCGCGGAGCTCCGCGGACTCCCGGGCCTGCCGCCTGCAGCGCCCCCATTGCTAGCGCGTCTGCTGGAGCTGTGTCCGGGTGACTCCAGTGACACTAAGGGCCCTGGCAGCCCCGGGGACCCAATGCGTGCGCTGCTGCTGTTGAAGGCCTTGCAGGGATTGCGCGCCGAGTGGCGCGGGCGGGATCAGCGCGGTTCGGCGCGGGCGCCGCGGAGTGCGGGGGCCACAGGCGCAGTGGACGGGCCGTGCGCGCTGCGTGAGCTCAGCGTGGACCTGCGCGCCGAGCGCTCTGTGCTCATCCCAGAGACCTACCAGGCCAATAACTGTCAGGGTGCGTGCGGCTGGCCGCAGTCCGACCGAAACCCGCGCTACGGCAACCACGTGGTTCTGCTGCTGAAGATGCAGGCCCGCGGGGCTGCTCTGGCTCGCCCGCCCTGCTGCGTGCCCACCGCCTACGCGGGGAAACTCCTCATTAGCCTATCCGAGGAGCGTATTAGCGCTCACCACGTGCCCAACATGGTGGCCACCGAGTGCGGCTGCCGGTGACCGCCGCTGCACGGACTCCAGCGCGCCCCAGCTAGCGCCCCTCCCCATATTTAGTCAAACCTCAAGCATCGCCCCAATAAAAACAGCATGCACTCGGCTGGGGTCGCCTGCGTCTGGGGGAGCCGTGAGGGCCTCCTCTGCCTTCTCAAGTGCAGGGCCTGAGTCACCCCTGGTAGCTCAATGCCATTCAGACAGGGGGTCCAAGCACGAAGGAGCAGGCGACGCACGGGCCGCGCAGCACTCGCTTTATTTTGCTGGAGCCTCGGGCCGTTGAGGGGAGTCAGATGGGACCCGGGACGCGCTCGGGACCCGGGCCCGGCTCAGCCCCGCCCCTTGCCCGCGCGGAGCTTCCGTCGGCCTGGACGCCCGTCCTCCTCGTCGTCAGGGTGCCGCGGGGGGACCCAGACCTGCCTTTTCCTGGGCTCAGGGTACCTGGGGTCCTTCGCCCAGGGCCGATGGCCCCTTTCGCGTGCCTCCCAACGTCGGGGCAGGGCTTCCCGGGCCTCCCTGGCGACCCGCGGCCTCTCCTTCCGCGGCTTCTCCTTTCGGATTTTCTCCTTCGGCGGCCTCTCTTCCCTCCGCGGCCTCTCCTTCCGCCGCCTCTCCTTGGGCCCTCCGTCCTCCCCAGCAGCCTCTCTGGTGGCCTCCCCAGTTTCCCCTGGAGCCTTCTCTGCGGCCTCCTTGGTCATGGGGACCTCGGGACTGTCCTCTGTCTTCCCCTGGAGGGCTGGTGGCCCCGCCTGGGGAGCGGGCCGTCTCGATGGGGGCTCCCGGATGGTGGGCTCAGGCTGTAAGACGGGCACGTGGGTCTGGAGGCGGCCCACCCCTTCCTCCTGGACAGGGACAGGGGCCCCACCTCCCGCAGCCGCTGGAAAGCTTACCAGGGAAGTCACCGGCTCTTTGTGGGGAGAACTCCGAGGGACCCAGGGCTCAGGGGCAGGTGTGGGGGCAGTCCCCTCCCCCATCATGGCATCTGGGGGACCGGTGGGGAAAGCCAGTCAGCCTGGGCCTTAGGACGGGTCACGCTGTCCACTGCCACCCTCCCTCCACCCTAGAGCTCCATTCCCCGACCACAGAGCAGCCTGGCTGTGCCTCTGGCAGGGCTCTCTGCCGCGAGGGCACTCCTGTCCCGCACCTCCCTTTGTCCTGTGGCAAACGCGCCACTGTCCTTCTTTTCCCGCAGATCCCTGCGGGGCCAGAGGGTGCCCGAGGCAGGAGCTGGAAGGGGGAGCCCAGGCCACGAGGCCGGTGTGAGCGTGGCCTTGGCCGGAGGGGGAGGGGAGAGTGGTCCTCGGCCAGGGTCACTGGGGGAGCTCAAGGGAGGGGCGCAGGAGAGCGGCCTGCAAGAGCCCCTACCCTGGAGAGGAGGCACCCAGACCCCGCCCTGGCCGTGCTTGGCCCTTCCCTGAGGGGCGGGCGTCCTGGTCCCCAACCCCCATCCCACCTCTGGGGAGCCCGGCTCACCGTGGCACAGCTGGAAGGCGGAGCCCAGCAAGGCGACCAGGGAGGCCAGCACCAGGCACTTGTTGAGGGTCACGTCTCCCCAGGGCAGCTCCTCCCCGAGGGCGGGGAGCGGCGGTGGCGGCTGCGGTGGCGCGGCCTGCGCCTTCTTACGTGCGGGGACGCTCCGAGGGGCTGCAGGGTGGGTGTTCTGAGCTCCGGCTCTGGGCTCCGCAGCACCCTCCGCCCGCGCTGGGCGCAGGGCAGACCTGCGTCCTGCACCAGCTCCTCGCAGGTGAGCCGAGCCCTGGACGCCCCGCGGCTCTGGCTCAGCGGGTGCCCCTGCCCTTGCCGGCACTGCCTGCCACTGGCATCCAGGAGCCCCCATTGCATCCGGTCACTTGACCCCCTAAATTTAGTGACCCAGGCTGCAGCCTATCCCCCATGCCAATCTGTACCCACCCCTGCCTCACCCATGCCTGTTGCAAACCCACTTGCTCCAGATTTCAGCTTTTCCTTCCCAGCTCCTGGGCTCCCCCTGACCACAGGCTCCTTTTCCATCTTCTTGGGTTTGGTGGCCACATTCCCCACTGCCACGGCCTCCCGAGAGTCCTGTGGGAATCACCAGACTTTCCAGGTCATTGTTTCCTTAGGTCTTTCCTCAAAGGGAGCCCGGCCCTCCCTGGGGTCTAACAAACACACCCTCTTAGCCAATTTGTCCTCAACTCCAAGGGCATCCTGGGCTGTAACTGAGGGCCCAGACACTCACCTGGGGCCAGGTGCTGGAGTTGCCCAGCCTGGGGGTCTCTGTGGGTGGGAATGGAGAGCTTAGCAAGGTGGCAGGGCCCCCAGGTCAGACCCCGCCCCCTGCCGCTGGGCTAACAGTGCCTGAGGCCTCCCAGTTGCAGAGAGCTCAGAGACGCCCTTGCCCCAAAGCACCCAGACTCCAAAGGCCGCCTGGGGTCAAACCCAGATCCATGTGGCCGGCCACCTGTTCCGGGCTCCTGAAAGACCCCCGAGGCAGGAATGGGGACCAGGCTGGCCGCAGGGAGCAGTTCCAGCCCAGTGAGGGACAGTAATCCCTGGTGTCTGGCGGTGAGCCACCTGGCTCAGCGTACCTGGAGGCTTGTCCCCTGGAGGCCGGCCTGGGCAGGGATCTGCCAAAGCAGAGAGGTCCTCGCTGGCCAGGCAGCTGCCCAGGCCTCCGTCCAGCTCCTCCGAGGCTCTGGTTGTCATGTAGACTGGAGCAGCAGTGGGCCCAGACCGGGGCTGGGAAAAGGAGTTTCACCACCTGGGCCTCCAAGGACAGGAGGCCACCAGCCTCCCTCTGCCAGTTCCCAGTTGTTGCTGGTCCCTCTCTCTCTAGCAGCCTTCTCTGAGCACAGTCACCTCCTGCAAGGGCCCATTCCCAGGCACCCTCCCCAGCCCCTCTTACCCACAGCCACCACGCTGGGCCCTCCCCATGGCCTATCTCTCTGGACCCCAGCATCCCTGAGTGTGGAGCTCAGAGAGGACTGGAATCCACCCAAGGTCACACAGCAATGAGTCAAAGACTCAGCCCACACCAGAACCTGGGCCCCAGGGTCAGCTCATGTTCTCTGAGCCCAGGGACTATTTTTAACTGGTGTCCAAGGCCAGCAGCACAAGCTGGTCAGTGTCTGAGCCCCTCCCAGGTCTTGCTCCTATGGGGGCTCCCTTTGACCATCCTCACCCACCATTCCTGGCACCCAAAGCTTTCAGCCATCCCCATGTTCCGAGGGGCCCAACCCCCAGCAGCCAGAACCCACCTGGCCCTGGCCACAGTAGTTGAGGGCAGGGGAGGAGGGTCCTGGGGTCTTCCTGTCCCAGCGTGCCCACGGCCCCGGCCTCCTCTCGCGGCCTCTGTTCCCATATGGCAGGTGAGGAAACCGAGGCTGCAGACGGGGCCAACCTGAAGTCAGCCCCAGACCTTGCTTTTTGAGGTCTCCATGGCCTCTGGCTGCTAGTTCCAGTGGGTCCCTCACCCCAGGAAGGGAGGCCCCCCTTCCCTGGGGCTGGGAGACCCTGAGGGGCCGAGGAGGAAGGCTTCAGCGCCTAGGGGGCCGGGGTGGGAGACCCAGGTGAGGGGGCGGCAGCGCGGGGGAGCGGACCCCAGCCCTGGAGACGGCCTCCCCAGCCCCTCTTACCCACAGCCACCACGCTGGGCCCGGAGCACAGGATGGAGTCTGGGAGGGTGGACGGGACAGACAGCGACAGGTGGCCAGAGACAGCTGGGCGGACCTCACTGAGGACCGTGGAGCAAGGGGAGGGGCAGGCGGGAGATCACCACTGGAACCAGGCAGGGTACTGGCCAGAGGGTGACCCCACCCCATTCAGGGTGATGCCACCATCAGACCAGCCCCTGGTGACAACCAGGGGAAGTGGGGTCCAGAGGGGACAGCGCCTGGGCCATGCTGACTGCTGTCTCATCTGGGCCACATCCTCACAGAGCACCACTGTGTGCAGGTCTGGCTGGGGTGACAGCCACCTCCTGCAGGGCGCACAGAGCCAGCAGCCAGGGTCGGAGGGAGGGCCTCACCTAGGAGGCCCCGGCCTGGAGCAAGGCTGCCCACGGACCTGGGGCCCAGAGGCTGCCCAGCGCAGGGCCTCAGCTCCCCATGTGAGGCATGGGTGGCTTCCCCCTGGGGGGTGAGGGTGAAACCAGCCGTGCGCCAGCTCCAGGGCAGCAGCTGCCTGTGGACACTCGCTGCACCAGCTCCCAGCCACGCTCCCCGGCACCTCTGTCCGGCACCTCTGACCGTCCACACCAGGCGCCTCTGCTGGGGTGTGTCCAGAGGGTGTCCCAGCAAGGACAGCCCCGAGGGAGGGCAACCCCCCGCCCTGCACGCAGGAACTAAGACACCACTCTCCAGCGGAGGAAACCCTTTGGTCATTATTTTTGATACCTGGGATTGGATCCAGGGGCACTAACCACCAGGCCACACCCCGGCCCTTACTTTGTATTTCATTTTTATTTATTTTTTGAATTTTTTTTTTAGTTGTTGAAAGACCTTTATTTCATTTATTCAGTGCTTCACATGTGCCAGGCAACGCGCTACTGCCGAGCCCAGCCCAGCCCTTATCTCGTATCTTATTAGAGTCGGGGCCTCCCTGAGTTCTGGGCCTCCCTGAGTTCTGGGGCCGGCTTTGAACTCGTGTTCCTCCTGCCTCAGCCTCCCGGCTGCCGGGATGACAGGCATGTGCCACCGCACCTGGCTTTTGTCATCATTTTTAAAAATGTTTTAAATAGGGCTGGGGATGTGACTCAGGGGCAGAGCACTTGCCTGGCACATGGGAGGCCCTGGGCTTGATCCTCAGCATGACATAAAAATAAACAAAATAAAGGTGTGTGTCCATCTACAACTGAAACAAAATCTTTATATATATATATATATATTTGTTGTTGTTGTTGTTGTTGTTGCAGATGGACACAGTACTTTTATTTTATTTTTTTATGTGGTGCTGAGGATCGAACCCAGGGCCTCGCCCGCGCTAGGCGAGTGCTTTACCGCTGAGCCACAACTCCAGCCCCTAAAACAAAATCTTGTTTGATTTTTTTTTTTTTAAAAACACCTTATTGACACAATTCACATGCCACATGGTCTATCTTTGTCCCCAGCACTGGGGCTGGAACCCCGCGCTCTCCCATGAGCCACACCCAGCCCGCGTCGTCCTATGCTGAGACAGGTCTGGCTCCGGTGCCCGCCGGCCTGGACCCTGCCGTCCTCCTGCTCAGTCTCCCTGCAGCCACGACAGTCCAGCCACCACACCTGGCTCCCGTCCGATTCTGAGGAACTGTCAGCTGGCTGCCAACGTCACCATCACCACACCACTTCACCTTGCACCAGGAGTGCTTGAGCTTTTGCGGGAGGCCCAGTGGGCGGAGGCCGACGTCCTCCTGCGGCTGAGCTGCCCGTCCCTGGCCAATGGCTGCTTTGCCCCCCGCCCAGCCTCCCTCAGGACGCCTCTCCCTCAGGGCAGGGCTCCCCAGCAAGGCCCTGCAGCGGGGCCTTCTCTCAGAACTTGTCTCTGACCCCACCACAGATCCCAGACCTGCTGAAGGGGCGCCTCCCTGGGCTGGGCAGGTCCCGCTCCCTCTGAGCAGGTCACTCCGTGGCACTGACCAGCAGAGGAGCTGAGTCTCCCAGGATGGGAGAGAAGCGGGGCTGCCCCTCACCTCCCAGGGCCTTTCTCCCTGGCGGCCCTTGGCTTCCCCCTGGGTCAACAGATGGGGTGAGGGCCAAGCTGCCCGCTGAACAGACACCACGATCGCGCTGCGTCTGCCCCCCTGAGTTCACTGGCCCCGTCTTCCTGAGTACCAGGGGCTGTGCCAGGGCTTGCCGCGCCGGAGCCCCCTCGGCCACCACCACTCCTGCGCCTCCGGGTGTGAGGCGGGGTCTTACTAAGCTGCTCAGGCTGGCCGCGAGCCCCTGGGCTCACCTGACGTTGCTGCTGTAGCTTGCCGAGTGGCTGGGACCACAAACATGTGACACTGCTGAGGCCGGAGGGTCCAAGTTCAAGGTCAGGCTCAGCCACCTAGCCAGACCCAGAGCAACCTCTGGAGACCCTGCCTCAAAATGAACTTTAAAAGGCCGGGGTGTAGGACCAGGACGCCCGAGTGGACACTGGCCTGGGCTGCGGGCCCGGTCAGTGGAGTGGGTGCGGCACTTCTTGTCCAGGTGCCCGGGAGTCGTGGCGTGGCCCGGGCCTGGGGTTACTTCCCGGCTGGGGCACTTCCTGCCGCATCCAGACCTTCCAGAGCCTTCTCCTGCTGCCAAGGGCATGAGTGGCACCCCTTGGGTATCCGAGGATGTCACCGGGCAGGAACAGGAACCTGCCAGGCTTTGCCAAGCTGCTTCCAAGTTTTGATCTTTTAAATGAGCACTTTTTTACACAATATCTTTATTTTGTTTATTTATTTTTATGTGGTGCTGAGGATCGAACCCAGGGCCTCCCACGTGGGAGGCCTAACAGTCCCAGCGGCTCAGGAGGCTGGGACAGGAGGATTGAGAGGTCAAAGCCAGCCTCAGCAAAAGTGAGGCGCTCAGCAACTCAGTGAGACCCTGTCTCTAAATAAAATACAGAATAGGGCTGGGGACGTGGCTCAGTGGCCGAGTGGCCCTGAGTTCAATCCCTGTACCTCTCCAAAAAATAATACAATAAATACAAAATGCAAAGGGCCAGGGGCGCGCCAGTGGGTGGCGCCCCCTGGGTTCCCTCCCCAGGACTGGGAAAGAGGAAAACCACTAAATGAGCAACCGGTCCTCTTTTCTTCAGCAGTAGCAGTTGTTCAAAAACCGACGCCATGGGCTGGGGCTGGGCTGGGGCTCCGTGGTGGGCGCTGCCCGGCAGGTGCGAGGCCCTGGGTTCCATTCTCAGCACCGCAGATAAATAGATAAAATAAAGGTCCGTTGACGATTTAAAAAATGTTTTTAAAAAAGAAGCGATAACAGTGTTCAAAAGTGAAGAGGAAGCTTGTGCCCACCGCCGTGTCGCCTCGTGGGGCAGGAAGCGCCAGGAGCTGCACAGCCACCTCGAGCAGTTGATTAGTACAGTCGTCACGCGTGACACAAGTTGGGAACCGGAGGGGCGCACGCCACCTGCCACCTGCCACCTGGGGCCTACAAGTAGCACTTTGCTGTGCTGTGTTTTGGGGTAGCATTGGGGTGGAACCCAGGGCCTGGCGCAGGCTGGTCACGTGCTCGCCCCAGAGTTGCACCCCCGCCTACTTCCTCCAATTTCATTTCACAGTCAGCTGCAGGCGTCACCCCACTTCCCAAAGCACCTCAGCACACAGGGCCAACCCCGGGTGGGCGCGGGACACGCCTGGGCTGCCGCCAGGAGACGAGGCTCATGGAGAGCCAGGGCTGGGCTCCCGCCGGGCACCCAGCTCCTGCCCACGGGTCACCCTGCAGGGGCTCAGCCTGCAGCCACACACCCCTCAGGCCTGGGCCACAGTCCAGCACAGGCCTCCCTGGCCCAGGGACAGTCCATGGTCCCCTCCTCCAGCTCCTGAGACCCCAGGGAGAGTCCCCGTCCCCTCTCCAGCTCCAGGGCCAGCAGCGCAGCGTCTTCCTGGCCCTCTGACCCTGACCCTGCTCCTCCTGTCAGCAGGACCCTGTGGTGACCCTGGGTGGCCAAAGCTCAAGACCCTCCCCTGGTCACACCTGAGTCCCTTCTGCCCCAGGAGGTGACACAGTCACAAATTCTGGTGATTAGGATGTGGCATTTCGGAGGGCCCTTATTCACCAACTCCAGGAGCCGCTTTTTTCTTTTTTTGATTCTTTTTTCAGTTGTGAAAGCCGGGCTCTGGCCCCCACTGCTACCCCTGCCCGCCGTGCTCGCCACCCCTGCCCATCAGCGCCACCACCTCCGGGATGCACCCAGAATGCCTGCCACCACCCCTGCTGCCAGGGCCATGCCCTCCACAGCTCCCTGCTCCCTCAGGCACCTCCCACCAGATCCGGGGTTGGCCCTGGGTCCCTGGCAGGATGCACGGGTGACCCCTCCCCTCTGTCATCCAGAGCCGTTAACCGGTGTGGCCGGCCAGTCCGGGCTGCCCCTGTACAGTGCCACAGCAGCTCCCGGGTGAGAGGGAAGGGCTCCCTGCTCCCCTGGGCTGGAGACCCCTCCACCCAGCCCACCTGCTCCTCTAGGTGACCCTGTGGCCTCGCCCCTGGGTGGGTGACTCTGCCCGCAGGGATGCAGGCAATGGATGTTGGGGGTACTGGTGGCCGTCATGACAGGGGAGCTCCTGGCCTGGAGGGTAGAGGCTGGGGACTCTGCTCAGCACCTCAAGGCCCAGGACACCTCCAGGGAGGGTCAGTGTCCCCTCCCCCAGTGTCCACCAGG